GAGAAAGAAGAGTGGGTTGTGCTACACTTGGTGGGAACATACTATGGGAATATGTATTGACGGCACAGCACAGTCAGAAAGACAGGTATTGGGTTGCTTTCTAGTGAGAAGATGGTGGGTTACACACCAGGCAGGCTTCTACTGCTGCCCCCTTCGGCCACGGGACCATAAAAATCCCAAACCACGTTTCCCATGTTGCTGTGTCGGTTGGGGACTTTGTCTATGGGTGGTTGTAGTGCAGAAGCAGAGTTGGTGTACCAAGTGTGGATGATATCAATGGGCACAAGCATACAATAATAAGGGGTAGGTGAGAAATGAAGATGACGGCATATGTCTGTCGAGTTTCTCATGTTCTCTCTTGCAGGCTGACCCTGCGTCTTGCGTGAAGTCCATATCCGCAGCTGTTGGAGATGGATCGGAGAAGGTTGCGAATTGCAGGGGTGAAAACGGACAACGTCCAGTTTCGGACCCGGGACTGCGGACCTGGGACGGCCTCGTGCAGTCTCCTTTGCTGCACGATGCACCGGGAAAGGCCGCCGGGGGTGGGGTGCTCCAAGATGCTGGGTTTTAGAGAGAGAGAACTGCCCCCCACTTGCCTCTCTCTTTCATAGATACAGACAGCTCATGCAAAGAAATGAAAGCCAATCACTGATAGCATGCCGTCTGGAAAATGCTCGCTTGTGGTTGACGTCTTGGCTTGAGACTTTGTTTTGTTGGAATTTGTGGCGTCTGGGGGTTGCTTTTGATGCTGAGTGAGGCACTTGAGGGAAACATTTGGGTGGGGTTGTCCAAGTTGTGGCTTGCAATTCGAGGGATGATCCACTTCTGGCAGCCCGTGGACACTGGCATGCTCCCGGCAACTTCTCCCACCAATCTCCTGGAATGACCCACTCGTGACAACCTTCATATATTCAATTTGAACAGGCACGTGTATGCTGTCATCCAATGAGTTGGAATCTCTGTCCGCAGATGACTCGGTTGTATATTTAAAACTCTCGGTTCTGTTTCCCTCACTGCGGCACCGCCACAACACGGCTCCGAGCTAGCGCCGGATCGTATTGTTACACTACGTCTTCCATCATCGCCTATGCGCTGGTGGTCGACTACGCCGCCATGTGCGCAGCAGTCGATGGTCCCCTTCGTAAGACGCAAGTCACCCAACTGAGAATGATGACCACCATCATGAACAGGTCGCACCGGGTATTCCCTTTTGGATCCCGCCCACCGTTCGCTCTAGCGTTTTGCCTTTTGGCTCACCGACAAGCTACCGTCCGTTGCGGCGGTTCATCCCATCTCCCATCATCATCATCATCATCGTCATCACCACCAACCGCCAACATCCCGTCGTTTCCGTCTGACATACAGGAGAAGTGCGTGGGGGTTGTCTGCTCACTCGTCTCGACGGTTGCCTGCTCCACCACGCCCAAACACCGCATTCACTGATATGAGATACACACGACTATCTGGCTGGAAAGTTTCACCGCATTGGGCCAAATTGCTAATGGCACGTTGGTGGGGTGAGCTGTGATTGTGTATCATTTGATCTGTAACCTCACTTTCTTCTTTGTTTCCTCGTCCTTCTCTTCGATTCCCTTTCGTTGGACAAGACAGACTCTCGGCTCGTGTTTTCATTTGCACTAATGCCCATCAATGGGGCATCCGGAGCGACAGTCCATCGCCGGGCCTAGGAACGGTGATGCCGCCGACTGGTTGCCATGGGCCGACAGGTCGTCCATTCGCGCCCCCGGCCCAGACCGCGGAGGGATTCCCGGTAGGATGGCTCGTGATGGGTCGCTCTCGCTTGGGGCGTCGAGCCCGCAGGCGGCGCTCTGAGACAGGAGATGGTCCCCACTTGACAATCGCCAATCCTGGGACGGCGTCGCTTCTTGACGGTGATCGGTCCAACGAGCCTTTCCTCTCGAGGCTTGGTTCCTGATTAGGCGTCGGCCATTCTCAAATCCCAACTGGGATTCCCCTTGAAGTGGCACATTGGTATTGGGGTCCATTCCTTCTGGAAACTGTGGACACACACAGAAGCCTTCCCAGTCAGCGCCATCGCTTCCCATTTGCCGGTGCTTGGTGTCTGGGCACTACATTCGTCTGCAGCAGCATCACTTTGATCCCGACCCCTTGGGTCTTCTGTTGCTGTGTGATGGTCGAGCCGTGTGGCTTGAAGCTGAACTTTTCCCATCACTGTCCTTGCTTTGACAAGGTGACAAGCAAGCTCAACCAACCTGATATGTCTCATCGGTTTTGAAAACTCTTTCGCAGCTGGATGCTGCTTTTGGAACCAGGAGACGTCATTGCCATCCAACTTTGATATGTCACTTGGCCCCCTGACGCAAATGCCAAAAAGGCCGACGTTTTCTTATTTCGAGACTTGGCGGCAGCGAATGACACAGAGGCAACCAAAGACACGGGAAGTTTGAAAAAGCAAATTCCAACTAAAGCCTCCCGCCACCAAAAAAACAGCTTTGGATTTTTGGTCTTGACCCATGAACAAAAGGCAAATAGTGACGCAGGGGAGTTGAATGAGGCACTTGCCCTCAAAGTCACTCTTTTCTCCCTCGAAACGGAGCCCATTCCCAGCACAATTACGGGAAACACCCGCCGTTTTGGAAGACATCACCCTCCCCCAAGACAGTCCCTTTAAACGGCGTTAATCATCGCTAGTCCCACGTGCTTGACGCCGCCATACGCCACCGGTAGTCTGAGGGGTGTTTCCCCGGGGGCCCGAAGAGACCAACCGGATCTCGCCCGTCCACTTTCCCACTTGCCCACGTTTTTTAGTGCAAGCGGCGGCTCTGGTCGGTCTTGGATTGGGGGCCGTCTCAAGCTGGCGTTGTGTCTCGGAGCCCCTTGATCCTATCTTGGTTTTAAGTAGTAAGCACCTTATCAGAGCTCCGGATGGGGGTGGGTATGTTGAGACATCGAGATTAACTAGCTCTGAAAACTCTGAAAGGAAAAGGATGGGTTTCCCAACGACGGAGAAACACGAATCGGACCTAGGTTGGGATCTATCACGATCTCCGGTCAACTTTCTCGGTGGGATCTTCAATTGCTTCTTTCCCGGGGGCTCGAGATGTCAAAACGGTGCGGTGAAACCCGGATGGGGAATAGACAAGGAGAGAGCCAAGGGGCCTGTCGATGATAGTGGCCTTCGAGAAGTTCTAGCTCTGTCCCGAGTGGATGGTAGCTGGGATCGTTGGAGGCAGCTAGAATTAGGGCGAGGAGCGACAACAAGTGTGGCATGGAGGGTGTGAGGGCCATTAAGGGGTGTAGGTAGCACACATAGAAGAACAACGCACACCACACCACAGAAGGATCAGGTGTGAGTGGGATCGGGCATCAGTTTCGGCAGTAGCGGGGAATAGACAGGGACAAGATTGCCTCATGGCAAGGAGGTTCAGCTGTCTGAGGCAATACGAGGCGAACGGAGGTCAGCTTAGTGAGGTCTCATCAGCTCAACATTCTCTTCACGAGAACTTGTGTCTGTGCAGAAGTATTGTGTACAAGATCACAGTGTGCATTTCGTTCGGCAAGTTATCGGGGGCTTGAGCAGGTTGACAGTGAAAGCAGAAGTCAGAAATGAGCAGGCATGTCATGTCTGACCTGTAGAGACTGGGGATGAACATGAAGGTTCTGACTATAGTAGACCAAACCTACCTATGTACCACTGGTTGGCGCCTCTAGGCCATCTTCAAGCCTCTTGGGGAATCTTTCAAGGCCTATCGTTCATATTTCAAGGTCTCTGTCTCAAGCAGCACTGCAGCGGCCTACTATCTTGTCCTCGACATTAGAGGGTGTGAACGATAACAGAAACTGACTTATTAAGCAGAATAGTTAAGTCCGAATCCATAGATCTCAGTTCGGATTGGTACCTTGCCAAGAGTTCTATACATGTGTTTGAGAACAGCACATAGCTAGCAAAATACCTATCTATCGGCAGTTCATGCTCTCACCCAACCCAGAGCTCAGATTTTGAGATACCTTAGAATAACAGGGACAGGCTGAGTTTCGAGTCATTGAGGAGGCAATATCAACCAGCCTCATCCCAACTTACACCATCCTCCACACACTCCACACTTCCACAAACCCTACTCATAAACCCACAGAATGTCACCACAACCATCAAATAATGGGTGTAGCCTCGCCCGGCTAGCTCAATCGGTAGAGCGTGAGACTCTTATGTACAGAGTACTCCGAAATCTCAAGGTTGTGGGTTCGACCCCCACGTCGGGCTCAATTCCCGTCGACAACGATTCGATATCATTTTTGTGGTATGCTTCAAAATTGTCTTATAGATGGCAGAGTCCTTGGTTGGGAGCAAGACTCGCCTCCTCATGGGTGCAGTCAATAACCAAGTTCTTTTTGCTTCGTTGACGAGTATTGATCTGATTCTGATTTGCCTGGTCATTCGGGCGATGATATGATAGTGATATGAGCACTGCTGTCCAGAGAGCAAATTGGTAACTTGTCATCGAAGAGCCGTTTTCGGCCAGAAGCTCCTACACCACTCGTCCACATGAACCGTCATGCGGTCGAAATCATACACAGACAACTCTAAAGCTGACCGTCCCCTCTTCCTCGATAACCACCACCGCCACCCCTTCCACCTCCTCTATACCCACCACCGCCTCCACCTCCTCTTCCCCTATACCCACCACCACCTCCTCCCCGCCCTCTATACCCCCCTCCACCACCACCACCACCACCACCCCTCCCCCTCCCATCGCTATAATAAATCTCACACATTTCAATTCCTTAAATTTAATCTTCAACATCTTTTCTATCTTAAACTTCTTTCCTATTTCAATTTACAATTTAACTTATAACTTCTCTTCTTTCA